GATATATACTTTTTTAATAATTATGATGCCGGTATGTGGGGACATAGTGGATGACCCCTCACTTAGCCCCTGCTGTCAATCAGACGTAAATTCCACTGGCTTCTTAGGGGGAGCATTTGCCTGGTACTCCCCCCAGGATCGCAGAATCTCCTTTAAAAGAACCAAAATGAACTTTGTCCCTCATTTTCAAAAACACCTCACACAAACCTTGGCAACATTCTAGCCATCTTGGAAAGGATAATCATCTCAAGATATTTTTCAGGGGTGAAGGTAATTTGATTAAACATGCCAGTTATCATTTTTCCCACCACTTTACCTGGGGTTTAGTAAAGCAACTAAAAGGTCTGTTCTCACACAGAATCTAAAGCAATTCATATGAACTTGATACAATATTGCAGAACTCTACTTTATTACACTATGTGAGAACAGTATATATATATATAATAAAAAAGTTGTGAAGCTTCAAACTGCAAGACTGGGGCTGTGACTCTGAGGACTGTTCTGATTCTGAATTCAATCAGTTTTAATCTGCAATGACCATTGGTTCTGTTAAAGGAACACTATAGGCACCTAGACCACTTCAGCTCATTGAAGTGGTCAGGGTGCCGTGTCCAAGGTCCCTTAAATCTGTAATTGTAATTATTAAACTGTAGGAATTTGTCTGTTATTAATTGAAGGGGTTGAAAAGCAGCAACGAATTAGGCCACATTCAGTTGCTAAGCTTCTCTCTAAATAGTTATTGTATATTGTAAGGGAATATTGGGGAAGATTTATCAAGGCAAAATCAAATGCTACTCTGGGGCAATGTGCTAAATAAGGAACAATCACCATGGACACCATTGAATGTCTCACTATATTTAGAACTTTGCACCTAGAATGTCACTTGTGCTATTTTGATAATTCCCCTTCACTATTTATTGAAAATTTCTATGTACTCTATAGATTAACTTTTGGGGAAGGAAATGTTTGGTAAGCTAAAATTTCTTGGTTGGGTTTTCTGCCCAATGGATATTTGCATGTTCCGAGGCAATGCAGCAGCTGTGTGTGTTTTTTAACTGTATTTTTGCATAAAGTCTCAATGACTCATTACTGTCCCTTTATTACAGGCTGTAAATCTCAAACTGTACAAAGTCTGAATAATTTTTGAACTATTACTGCTCTTTTACTTGATAAATGGTAACTGTAATAAAATTGTCTTAAAGCCCGAGACACAGACATTTGCATGTACAGTCTCTTGCTTTCGAGAACTTTGCATGCAGACCATTTCACATTATAGGAGCTGTGAATAAGCGGATATCATCTGTTATCTCAGACCGATTGTCTGACAGCTAAAGGGATATAACACAGTTAATTTGTAAAAGTGCCAAATTCTATTGAAGCAATGGCTTCTATCAGCTTACTGAGCAGCTCCTCTCATCCAGTGTGTTCAGTGGAAGTGCTGCTGGATGTTAAACTACATATCCCATAGACTCCTGCTGGAAAAGGGGTTTATAGAATAGGACATGATATGGGTGGGCAACCTTTGGACTACATTTCCATATTGCTCTAACAGCCATAATGCTGGCAAAACATCAGGGGAAATGTAATTCGCAACATCAGGAGTGCCGAACGTGGCCTATGCCTGAATAGGATATCAGCCAACGGACCACAATGAGAGGCCCTTGAATAGTGGAGTCTATTTCTGACTTGGGTGTGTAGTGTCTGCTATAAACACTTGCAAGTACTGGAGTTTTGGAAACTACACTGTCAGTTCTACAGTGCCTCTTTTAAAAAAAAAGAGCAATTAATTGAAATATGGGAACTACACAGAGCATATACAATCGGGACAATCAGCAATATCAATTAATATCATTTGAATATTTCAGTGATTAATTTATCCCGTGCAGAATTGTTGGTATGGGGGGTGGGGGGGGAGGGTATAAAATATTAGGAAAAGGATCTTAATATAAACCATACCCCATGTGAATGGTTCCATACCACCATTCAATTGAGAAAATACATTAATTGTATATCTTCATTTAAAGATCTTGTATAGATGGTATTTGGTTCCTTCTAAATTACATAAATTGTATAAAGCATACTCACCTATATGCTGGAGATGCCATGAAGAGACTGGTCCAATATTTCATATTTGCTTTAGCTGTGAAATACTAAATGATATTAAGATACGTATATCTTCTTTGATTTTAGAATTAACGCAAGAGATAATAATTCTCACATTTTTATTTAATTTAGATTTTCCATTAATGGAAAAAGAAATGTAAATATTCAACTACACATTTTCTTTATGCCATGAAGATTACTATAGCTCGTCACTGGAAACGGACTGATCCTCCAATATGGCAAGAAATTTGAAATCAAATAGAATATCCGCATATAATGGAATGTAACTTTTCAAATACATCAGGTAAATCCGATTCATATCAGGATTCATGGCAACCCTGGGTAATCTATGGGGAAAATAAAAACCTATTTTAAATTATAGATGGTATTGTGCTTAAGATAAGTATTTCCACGATGTCCTAATAAAATAAGAGCCCCCTTTGGATATACTATAATTGTCGCACCCTGTCGCTGAGTCCCAATGTATGCAGTCCACAGCTATGGACGTTCATAGTTTTTCTTTTTTGTGTGTTTTAGTTTGGAACGAGTACATTGCCTTAAATCCGAATTATCTCAGTATTAGATTTATATGAATGCACTATGTTGAACTGTATGAAATATAATGTGAATTTTTTTTCTTGTTTTTCTGTTGATAATAAAATAAAAAGGAAATAAAAGGAAAAAAAAATTAGACTTAAAGTGAATCCACAAAAATATACAGCATAGAAGCAAAGATACCAGTTCTATAAAGAGTAGATGTGGCAAAAATATAAATTAGAAATGGGCAAATCCTCACAAAAACTACCTTATTAATTATTTATGTACAACGTCTGTCAATTTGCTTGTAGGGGCATCATTAATACACTAAATAATATCAAGAATTAGATCAGGCTGTGCCCACCCCAATTTAAAATAAAGTTATGGCTCACTGCCGCGCTGCGCACGCTGCCTGCCCTTGTCATATAACAAAATAAAATGCAGCCAGCGCCGCGAGGGAGCCCTGCTTTACTCATCAGGGAACTGACAACCGCGAGGTGAGAGTCTTACCTCGCTGCTGTCAGTTCCCTGATGATTTCAATTGCTTCAGCTGAGTGCTTGCTGAACAGCGCCAGCGTGTCTTACGTCATAGGCAGACCTCCTCAGATCATAGAGAGGGAGAGGGAGGGAGCGGAGCGGGAGCGCACATTGCGGCCACACCATTAAACTGAACTGCGTAAGCAGAGACTCAGAGAGCAGAGCAAGCAAGAGCAGTGAGAAGAAGAGCAAGCAAAGGGGGAGCAAGGCAAGCAAAGGGGAGCAGAGCTTATAAGGGGGGGCTGAGCATATAAGGGGGGTGAGGAAATAAGTGGGGGGCTAAGCGAATAAGGGGGGCTGAGCAAGTAGAGGGGAGCAGAGAGCAGAGCATGAAAGGGGGAGCAGAACAAGTAAGAGGGGCTGAGCAAGTAGAGGGGAACAGAGAGCAGAGAAAGTAGAGGGGAGCAAAGAGCAGAGCAAGTAAGGGGGGGTTGAGCAAGTAAGGGGGAGCAAAGAGCAGAACAAGTAACTTGACCTACCTCAGAGTGCAGTTTGCAGAGGGAGCGAGTGGCGCGGACAGTGCGGCTACACCTTACCTACGTGAGATTGCAGTTTGCAGAGGGAGTGAGTGGCGCGGACAGTGCGGCTACACTTTACCTACCTGAGAGTGCAGTTTGCAGAGGGAGCAAGTGGCACGGACAGTGCGGCTACACGTTACCTACGTGAGATTGCAATTTGCAGTGGGACTGAGCGAGCGGAGACTCCAGACAGTGGCATTACTACTGTAAGTAACGTAAACTTTAATTGAAACTTTTGAGTAAATTATATGTATGTACCCAGGATTACATATTGTGCGTATGACAATGAAACAAGTCATTTTAGTTTTAGTTTGTGTTGGTAATGGATTCACCAACTTTTATATAGGTCATAGGCAGGTTAGTGCACACATTTAAGTTTAATGACGAAGTTTGGTGTGTAAATCATGCCCCTGCAGATTAGGAGTTAAACACTTTGTTTTTGAAGCTCTTGCCACATCTCCCCTAGCCGCGACACACATAGCCTCAAAAGAGGTTTCATTTTTACAGTATAATTGTTTACTTTAAAGATTTTTTTAGCTCTTAGTGGGGCGTTGCTTGGAAGCAAAAAGATCAGGGGCTTTTATTACTAATTATTCAATAACCCAGGTATTTCTAATTCGAAACTGTTCATGTCAATAAATAAAATGGGTACTGTGCACAATGTATGTTGCAAAGTTGTATTAGAATGCCATGACATGACAATTAAAAATTCATAACATGCAGTCTGCTATGACAATATAAAGCACTTTTCTTCATATTAATAATGTTATTAATTCATCCATGAAGAGACAAGTTTTATATTGTCATGGTAGACTGAATATAGTGAATTATACATTGTCATGGCAGTCTATTGCAGCTTGCACAGCAGCCATTTTCTTTGTTAGGATAATGGGATAGTAGCCATTTTCTTTATTGGTGTTAACAGTTCCAAATTAGAAATACCTGGGTTATTGAATAATGACAGGTTAAAATCAACAGGTTCAATGACGTGTTTTTATAATAATTACCGTCATCCATTTTTAACTCTCCAAGTCATTCCGTCACATTATCATTAAACCACACCTACATCAACTGTTGAAGTGAGTGTGGACTGAAAGGTTTGGTATAAATAATGCTAGTGTGAAGGGGCGTGGCCTGGGCTCCGACGAACATGGCCGCCTAAGCGCTGAGCTCCGCTCCACAACAGCACACAGAACGGAGCACCCCACTACTCACCGGCGTGCACTGCCACCAATGGGTCGTACAAAGAGAGGGGACCTCCCCCAGACCCCCAAACCCTCGGTCTCGGGATCGCAAACGGGGCCGATGGATGAGTTCCTCCACGCGCCATGCGGCCCGGACCCCAGCTCCCCGACATCCAAAATGGCGCCGACCTCGCCAGCATCTACATGCTCCACTGCCGACACGACTACACTGGCAGACATAGGAGCAGAACTGAAACGCATGGCAAAGAAGATGGTCACAAAAGATGACCTCACCCACCTGACTAACAACATATATGAAGCAATTAAATCTGAAGTGAACGGCCTGAAGGCCGAAATTAAAGCACAGGAACACCGCATACAGCAGGTGGAAAAAAGGGCACAGACCACTGAAGACCACTCTACAGCCACAGACACGGCCCTCAAACGCCAGGGCACCCTCATACTGGCCATGAGGCGACAGCTAGAAGACCAGGACAACCGCAGTCGTCGCAACAATATCAGGGTAAGGGGGATACCTGAATCTCCATTACTACTATTTCTTGTATGGGAGATTAATTTAGGGGGAGGGGAGAGGAGGTTCATAGGGTATGACACTAAATTGTATACAGAGACTGAACACTAATTTTTTGTGTCCGGATATCCCAGTGATGTAATCTGTAATTGTGAGACCAGAGATTGTTTCTTTATAGTACGACTATTGTGAGTCACATATCTTAAATGGCTAGACTATGCAACATCACTCTGTGTCACTGACCAAGCCCCTCCCCCCCACGTCAAAGGGACCGACATACATAGATAACACGCTTCCAAAGAGGTCCATACACTCACAATTCCCCCACACAGACGACACACTGACGTCGAGAAGATACTAAGCAAACGACCATCCCACCACCCCCTAGAGGAACAAAAGGTACGGGGGAAGGGACAAGAGGACATAGAGGAGAGAGGGGGGAAAGAAGGGGGAGAAAAAAGGGAAAAAAAAAAAAATATATATATATACCCACATGTCCCAGATGAAACAACCCAGACATAATGAGTAGAAGACCCACAATGCACACACCCTGAAGAGATATCCTCAAGCCCCCACTTTGACTACACGCAAATTACCCTTACGGTACTTCCCCCCACCTGATACCGACGACACCGAAAAGGCGCAACAAACAGGCATAGTGCTGATAACACAATGGACACACATCAATGGCATTAGTGATGACTATACAACACCTCTACTACAGTGGACGGACGCTACAACCCCAAAACGGATATACACTACACAAATAACAGATTCTTCCGACGATACACAACCCTTCTCAAGTATCAACTCCACAACCAACACCGCACATACCACACAGGCACCACAGCCTAAACAGATAGGGGCCCAGACACGCTACCCACCCCTTTCGGTGCGCACGCTTAATACTACGGAGGCCGACTGGTACACCACCGGGATAAAACCCGGGGTGCCCCCCCGACCGACACCGTAGGCACACGAACTCCCTCTCCGCGGAGAGGATCACCTCCTCACACTATCACGACACGCGCACCACATCTATACTACTCTCCAACATCCAATTAAGAAACACACACCCCCACCACACGAACCAGACACGGTGCCTGACATCACCGAAAGGCACTGAGCCTGAGCAGACGACTCCCCTAGACCACACAAGAGCAAATACCAACACACCACATACACCAGACACCCTACACGTGACCGCAGTCCAGCAACTCACCCGAACGCCCCCCCCCCGGCGCTCCTGACCCGGCCGTCGCGTCCGCCTCGAGCTAACCGCCAGACGACGCAGGGACACCGAACCACACCAAAACCCAGGAACCAAGCCACGGGCTCGGGCTTCCTCGGTCGACTCTCACGTACACAAGAGAGCGAGACTCGGACGAGGGACCCCGATACCCGACAAGACAACACCGCTGCGCGGAGATACGGGCAAGATGGCATACAGACCAGACCCAATGAAAATCATCACACAAAATTGCAGGGGACTGAATCTCCCAGAACGCAGAACTAATCTCTTGAGGGACCTTCAGAGAGAGAGGGTTGCAGTCGCTCTTCTCCAGGAAACTCACTTTCGGGAGGGAGCGGCCCCGGCACTCAAAAACAAACAATACCCCACTAATTACTTCAGCAACCACCCCACAGCGAAAAAGGCAGGGGTCGCGATCCTTATAGCAGCTCGTCTACAATTCCAGGAACAGGATCACCTTATAGACCACAACGGCAGATACGCCTTCGTAAAGGGGAATATCGCAGGGCGATGCTACACGTTCGCGACAATCTACGTCCCCAATAATAACCAATCTAGATTCCTTAAGAACACACTAAAGGCACTAACAGACTTCACGGAAGGAACCCTGGTCACGGGAGGAGACTTCAATGTCACACTAGATCCTAAAGTAGACTCCTCAACGGGACACAGCAGCATTCCACAGAGAGAAATAAGAACCATAAACCATACTCTGAAAACACTGCGCCTGGTAGACTGTTGGCGAACGCTAAACCCATTAGACAGAGAATACACTCACTATTCCATAATACACAAAAGATATTCCAGGATAGACTTCTTATTATTGCAACAAGAAGCACTAATAAGACTTAGGAGAGCATCCATACACACTGCAACATGGTCGGATCACGGACAAGTGTCGATAGACCTCGAATCTCCACTCATAAGACCGACGAAAACAACGTGGAGACTCAACGACTCCCTCTTAACCGACCTTCCACTAAGGGCCCAAGTCACCGACACTCTACAGACATATTTCACCGAGAATGAGACAGGAGACGTATCAGATATGACAATATGGGAGGCACACAAAAGTGTACTCCGGGGCAAGCTCATCCAAATCGCGTCACAACGGAAAAAAGAGGCGGGCACACTTATGTCAACCATCCTGGACCGGATCCGCTCCCTGGAAACACAACACAAACGCCAACAGGTGGAAGATACCTACAGGGAACTATTAGAGGAAAGAAGGAGACTACACGCACTACTACTCAAGAGACACCTGAGACAACTCCGCAGATCTAAAGGGTTCTTCTACCTCCACGCAAACAAAGGAGGCAAACTCCTCGCACACATGCTCAGGGGACAACAACACCCCTCACAAGTCCACAAATTAAAAACAAGCAACGGCACTACTACCCAAAACCCGGAGAAAATCGCCAAGGAATTCTTCACTTACTACTCCTCACTTTACAGTACACACTCACAAAGCGACAAAGAAGGCAAGCGAATCAAACAAGGTCGCACGGAATGCTTTCTGAGAGAACATCTACACACGACGGTGACAACCGAAGACGCAGAGAACATCGACCGCCCGATCACCGAAGACGAAGTTAAGACAGCTATTAAAACGACGAAGACAGGCCGCGCACCCGGACCCGACGGACTTACACTGGACTACTACAAACGCTTCCAAGATATACTAGCCCCCAAACTTACAAAGGCGCTCAATGCCATCACTGAGGGACATGCATTCCACGCCGAATCACTGTCGGCCACAATTACAGTAATCCCAAAACCAGGCAAGGACCCGGAAATTTGCAGCAGCTACAGACCCATCTCCCTCTTAAACGTGGACACAAAACTCTTTACCAAAATATTAGCTACCCGACTTAGCAACCTAATGCCAACACTCGTACACCCTGATCAAACGGGATTCATACCGGAACGGGAGGCTCGAGACAGCACTCTGAGAGTCCTCGCTATACAACATTTAGCAAGACAACATGGAACACCACTCCTGCTACTCTCCACGGACGCCGAAAAGGCGTTCGATCGAGTGGACTGGGCATTCCTGGAAATGACGATACGACTATTGGGCTTTAATGACAACATACAGAAATGGATCGGAGCGATATACAGCACTCCGACGGCAGCGGTGCGCGTTAACGGAGCCTTGACGGAATCCTTCCCGATTCGCAATGGCACGAGGCAGGGGTGTCCCCTGTCCCCGCTACTGTTCGCATTAACATTGGAACCCCTATTGGAGACAATCCGACGAAATATTAATATCTCGGGCTACAACAGTACAACCGCCACACATAAAGTAGCCGCATACGCGGATGACATGTTGTTCTTCATTACACGTCCAAGACTCACCCTACCATGCCTAATGGAAGAATTCGAAAAATACGGACGCCTCTCGGGCCTCAAACTTAATTTGAGTAAATGCGAACTGCTCAACATCACAGATCCGCTTGGGGAACACAGAGATATAGCCTCGACCTTCCCGTTCCGTTGGTGCCATACCCAAATGAAATACCTGGGGATATGGGTGATGTCTGACCCAAATGCCATATATCAGAAAAACTTCCTCCCACTTCTCACACGCATTCAACAAGACCTCCGAACCTGGAATTACCCACACATCTCATGGTTCGGCCGCATAGCGGTCATCAAAATGAATATCCTACCCAGACTACTATATTTATTTCATACAATCCCAGTGACACTACCGACGACCTTTTTCGCGACAATAAAAACCGCATTCCTGACCTATGTCTGGAGAGGATGCAGGCCTAGACTACGATATGAACTATTATGCAAGACCAGGAATCAGGGCGGATTGGCACTCCCAGACCTACGCAAATACCACCAAGCGACAGCCTTGCAGCGGATACTGGAATGGCATACTTACCCGAGATGCAAACAGTGGGTGGCCTTAGACAGAGAATCCTGCAGCCCATCTATTTTTGCATCCCTATGGAATCAGAAAACGCCACGGAGACACGACCCCGGCACAAATTCACCAGCGAGTCACACCCTCCACTTATGGTCTACAATAAGGAACGCAACGACCATCTCCCCAATACCCAGCCCGATGACCACGCTAACACATAACCAAGCAGTGGGGGGAGGACTACCGATCAAGGCCTGGGATTTTCTAGAGGGAAGAGACTTCATACCACTCCACAAAACACTAACCGCCTCAGGACTGACCCCCTGGAATGCCTAATGGAAGGCCGCCAGCTCCCATGCACAAATTCCGATACTCCCAGCTGACGCATTTCTACCACACCCTACCGAACAAACAAGCGGTGCACAGAACCCTCACGTGGTTTGAGGACATCTGCGACAAACAAACACCGACTCAGAAACCAACGTCGACGCTATACCAATACCTAATCACAGGTGAGCAGCAAACAACCCGACGATATAAGGAAAAATGGGAAAACATCACCGGCACAGTGTTCACCGACGCACAATGGGACAAAATTCTCATCCTCCATCACAAATCCACGATTAGCTCAAAATACCAAGAAATGAACTATAAGCTGCTGACATTCTGGTACAGAACCCCAGACCTGCTCCACAGAATATTGCCCAACACATCGGCAAACTGTTGGAGATGTGAAGCAGACATAGGAACACTAAAACATATATGGTGGGACTGCCCCAACATTAAACCGTATTGGAACCAGATTACGTCCCGCATCAAAGAGGTACTAGGACATACGACGCACCTATCACTAGACAACATTCTCCTGCATCACACCAAAGACCCGATTTCAAAATACAAACGATCCATCCTGCGACACCTTCTCGACGCGGCCAAGGCTCTAATCCCTGCCTTATGGAAAACGACAAACGCCCCCACAATAGAACAATGGCTAAACAGGGTAGAAGAGATCAGATTCGCAGAAGAAATGCACGCGACCCTACGAGACACCCTCACGAAACATGTTGACAAGTGGCAACCTTGGATAATATACGTGGCAAGACGTGATGGGGAGGACGCGGCGGCTGGAGAGGGAAGTTAAGGGGACTTCCACCCATCCCTACTCCTAACAAACCACATACACTACACGCAATAAAACTACAACGCTCACACGATCAACACACCGCCAACACACAATCACCCCATGAACACAACCAATGAGGACACAAGACATAGCAGCATATGATACTGGCAATAACTCACCAACCCCCCCCAAAAAAAAAATAAAAAAAAATGATATCATACAGACATCTCATTAAACCCAAACCGACTATCCCGACTCATGCATCACTACCCAAGTTAGAGCTGAACAACAGGAGATACCCAAGTAAACCTCACACACTAACACTCCGTGCTACTAGACCTACTCCTCCATCTTACTTACTACGTACTCACAAATACTTCTCACAGATAAAAGTACACGACGGAATACAAATCTCAAACCCAACGCCTTGCAATTCATGGAATGCGCAGACACACACACCCACATAGACACAACACACACAAAAGTTTCTTCACATACAAGATACACCATGCTAAGACACAAGCTGCCTCAATTAACTGACTGAACACACAAAACTCAACATACACCTGACCGAACGACGCTCCCTCAAATGACAGCAAACGCTTCACACAGATAAGACCTGAGTACCCAAAATGAGAATAGCTTAGAGACACATGCCAAATATATGCCATAGGACCTGCGAGTCCAACTAATTCATACTTCTTACGACTGAATGAGACC